TCCCGGCCGAGGCGGTCGTGCCTTTCCCCACCCGCGGCCCCAAGGCCGAGGCTTCACCGCGAGCGCGGGACTCCAGCCCTTCGTACGGGCGTTGCTTACCCCGCGTCTCCCTCCAGGGTCGCCTCCGGCCGAGCTGCCCGGCGGGGTTTGCTGAACGGGGCGGGGAGCGCCCAAGCTGCGGCCCCTTGGGCGAGGGAAGGCCGGACCCGGGTAGAGGCGGGAGAATGGCTCGGTGGGTGCAGTTTGGCTTCACCCGGCGCCTGCAGTTGAGGCCAGTTTTTACCGTCAGGTTCAAGACACGGAAATTCGGCTGTTCCTAAGCGGCGGAGCTGGGCAGGCTGCGTCTGTGGCTTGTTTCGGGGGAGTCTTCCGTAATGACCCGTCTGGCCTCCAGACGGGATCTCTGACGAGCTCGGAAGACTTTCCACTTGCAGTGGTCATTACAGTTTTTACGGGCACGTTGCTGGTTACGCTGACCTAAATTCTGTTCTCTTCTTCGATACCTCCGCGTGAAAGTTGGCGGTGGAGAAGCTGCGTGTGACGGGGCTGTGTGCAGTGCCTGGCTCCGAGGAACAACGGGTGAATTCCTGCAGGAGGAGAAAAAGAGGCATTTCTGCAGAGTCCCTTTCAAAGCCATGACCGGGGGGAATCCAACTCCTCCGTTTTTGACTGAGCTCTGCGCAGTGATGCTCACAGATCATCACGGCTGCGGCCGTGGTGTGGAAGCATTTCAGTTTGTCCATTATGAAACGGGGCCTGAATGTGCTGCAGGTTCTGTAGCTTTAAATCTCCTCCTTGAGGTAGTGGCCCTGATAAGGGGCCACCGAGCACAGATCTGACCAGGCCTTTGGAAACCCGAGGCCCCAGTGATCCCAAAAGTCCAAATGGACTCAGTGGCGTAAGGAGCTTTCGCCCTGAGGAAGGAAAGGGTGCGTGGCTCCATCCCAGCACAGGGAGCTCTTCCACCTATTTGTTACGGTGTGTGTGAGCAGAAGATATATTTACAGAGGCAGTCGGAAATACTTTAGCGTAATCCGGAGACAAAGGCAGTTAATCCCAGATGTCTTTTCCCTGTGAACAGCAGCGAGCTAAAGGATAGCTTGTTACGACAGCTATTTGAAAGACAGTCTTATCAGAAGTTTTTATGATGGCAGTGTTCTGCTCCTCTCTTCTAATAAGGAAAATACACCGAAGCTGTGAATTCCTTTCAGTAGGTTTGCCATTAGTAAGGGATCGATATTTCAGGAAAAAGGAGAAAAGAATTCAAGATCTTCCTCAAAAATCACGTTCTGAAAGGTCTGATGGTAATGCACTTTTCTGGCTTCAGGACCAATGCAAAATGAAAGGAAAGAATCAATAATGTTATTTACACAAATGATATTGAAACACAAAAAACAGAAGGAAGTAATTTATGTCATGGCAACCTTACGGGAAGCTGTAGTCAGTTCAGTCTTCTGAAAATCAGAGCTGGAAAAAGCCAGTTCAGACCGTCTTTCCCACCAAAGCAGGGCAGGGTGAGCTGTAGTCTAATGCAGTCTCTTTCTTTCAGTTGCCCGAGAGCTCTGTCCAAGCTCCTGTGGTCATTTACCCGGTACCTACAGCCTATCTATGTTAACGGGGAATGGTCTGTCACCAGACGGGCAGGTGCTGGCAAAGCTGATTGAAACCAAGTGCCCTGCAGTGATTGTGTGAGTAGGGAGTCATACAGCAAGGGGTTAGACTGGAGTTGCGATTAGAGAAGGGAATTCATTAAACTAAGGTTTGACGTTGTTGCTTTGATCGGGATTCTATTTTCTTCGGTTAACCCAGTGTAATTAGCAACAAATTCACCGTTGATTTAAACCTGCTGATTCACACATTGCACATCGGATGGCTGTTAGGTGACCGACTTACGTCGACGTGCCTTTGTTCGCAGAAACATCAGAGGGGAGTCTATCCTGAATCTAGGACTTTTGTTTCGGAGACCACACAGGCCTGACTGGTAAATGTTGGTGTAGTCTTCTGAAACTATGCCTGTTGTTTTTATTAGCACTCGGTCTCCTCTTTTCTTTCTCACTGTGTCAGGCCAGAACTGCAAAGGGCTGGAATCCTTTTAGCATTTTAACACTTCCTTGACAAACATCCTGCTGTTCTATCGCTGCCCTCCCGAAGTGTAGGAGCTCTTTTTTGAGGGGACAAATATCTCCAAACTCAAGGAACTATTTGCACTTGTCTTTGGTGA